TTCATTTATCCCGAGCAGCGGCCTAGCAACCAGGGTGACCTTGACTCGAGCGTCACGGGGGGGGGGGTTGGCTGAGTCTATTACATGACGATAGACTTGTTCCTGGTTTAATTTGCGTTTTAAACGGGCAAGTTCGGTCATATTTTGTAATCAAAATTTTTTATGCAGTCTGTGTTTCAAACGATTTATGACGAAAGGAGACGGGGAGTGGAGTGGTTTAATTTTCGAAGAAGTTAGCACAAAGGGACGAGAGCATCTGATTCGAATTGCTTCGGCGATGTAAAATTCTCGTTAAGTCTCGTTGCCAGGATACGTGAACAGATGTTTCTAGAATCTCTCCTCCGTTCTGTCGATTTCGAGTTGCTCCCCCCCCCCCCCCACACCAATTTCTCACAAAATCTAGAAACCCAACTCGCAAACGCATGGCAAAAGCCTCTTACAGTCCGCGACTGTAATCTTGAGACTTGCAAGGAATTCAGGAAGTCCGAAGCGTTAAAGGCAGACTATCTTTCCACCTTCCCCCTTCACCACACTTCCTCAACCTGTAAGTCTCAAGATTACAGTCGTGGACTGTACCTTGCGTATCAAAGTTCGATTCCCGCTTGTTTATTGTGCGACTATTATTTATTATTATTATTTCTGTGTGACGACAGGTCCATATGAACAGGATCCTTCCATCCTTTTCTCGGACTGGGACCTGTTCATATACGTTCTTGGCAGATGATCCAGAAGTGGTTTGCCACTGCCTTCTTCTGTGTGTGAATGGAGTAATTGTTGGGATGCCACGGAAGAAAACTCCGTGTTGCCTAGACCACGGCCTTGCCCAACACAAGTTATAAATTCGGGCACCGCCGGGAATCGAACCCGAGACCCCAGCGTTCTAACCGCTGGACCGCCGTGGCATATCCGACTTTAAAGACACTCTGTGGACTTCAGAGATAACAGTCAAATGACATGAGGTGATGTTAGGTAGTTCATACGCGGAAGGCAAGAAATACGTGTGGAATTTTGGTGGGGAATCCTCAAATAAAATTTAAAATGAAATATATAAAAATAATACTAAGAAGTACTTCAGGGAAATATGTTCTGGGGATGGCCGATGCATAGAACTGGCTCAGGATGGTCTCCAATGCCAAACTGCTGTATTAGCGGTGTTGAATATATGAGGTCTAGTGTATTTGTGTTTGTCAGAAGAACGAGGAATTACCTGAAATGTGCAATGTCTTAAGTGGGGAAACGTACAGTTCCTGACGCTCCTAGCTACTACTAACAGCTGATGATAATTAGTCTGTGTCTTGTCGACTTGTACAACCCGTGATAAAACATGTACAGCGATTCGTGTAAGAACTGCAAACATTTGAAGGCTGATACACGCAGATAAACCAACAGTTGTTTGCGACCTACAGGCAGAACCAAAAATAAGTCAACAGTGTGGAGAACGTCTTTAGAAATCCGGCACAAATGAAATTAGTTTAACGTCCTTCTTCTGGGTAGTAAGTCTTTAGCCCTGAATATGGAGGCAGCATGATCCTACGGACGTTAACCACCAACCAATCCACACCCGGAAGATCAAAATTTCGGGCTTGTGACCTTAGTTAATCAGATCCTTTCCCAGGGACAAACGAAATTGTGGTGAAAGTGAGGTAATGGCATCCTATTTATTATTATTATTATTGCTTATAACATTTACAGGTTTTCATTTACATTTGTGAACTCTTGGAAGAGAATTAGGCTTGTCTTCTTTCTAACACAAATTCAATTTTTTATTCCATAGACTTCTGTTTGTTTACGTCGTCATTTATAATAAAAGAATTCCGTTAAACAGTGTGGGATTCGAATTTCTAAAGCAACAAGACTTGTTAGTAGTCGAAATTCTTGATGAAACTGTTTAAACCCTTGAAAGCCTGGTGGTAAGCATATATACCACTTGTCTGCTTTAACAGTCAGTAGCTTTTGATTATGCATTTGTCGGATTCGTTCGATTCTCAGGGTAAAGAGTGATAATTTCCTTCAAATGCAATAAGCAGTCGATCTTCGTAATGGTGAAGTGTAGTGTTTTCTTCGCGGTACGGACTGGATTCTTAAATGCTATTTAGACGAGCTCCGACATCAAATGGTTAATAAATGGGACCCCTGTTACAAAATATAATTCTATCACTTTAGATTTCTTGATCCATGAACTTTGTTAGAGCTTTTGAGCGAGCTGCAAAGAATTCGTTTTATTTTTATTAATAATCTTTGTGCTATATAATTGTCTGAATAAACTTAAGTGCACTCCTTTCTGTAACCGTGCACTGCTTAACTTCCATGGTGCCGCTGGTTGAAACCGCACGTGATGTTGGTATTTGTAAAATGGAGAATGTGATTTAGGTTGGGTATCCAACAATACCTCGCAGGTCTGAATTGAGTTTTCCGTTGCGAAACATTTCAGAAAATAAGATCGGGAAGTATTTTTGCTGATTCGGTTCTGTTCGCTTCGATGTAGTGACTCCCCCATCAGGGGTTCAGTTCACAGAACTTGTTCAAGGCATCATTGACAATCACCAGCAGCAGATGCAGCATAAATGTGGTCCTTGAAGAATACCCAGCTTCTTCACAAAGCGACAGCCGATATTTCACCCCCCCCCCCCCCCCCCCCAAACGACCGCCCCCGACAGTTCATTCGTCTTTCTAATATTTTCCCCACTGCCCCTCAGAGCAGGGGCTGACAGACACGCCATGTTGTTGTTTTTTTTTACACGACAGCGTAAAATGTGTTCCATAAATCAGCTACTGAAACCACGAGTGGAAGCTGAATCCAGAAGACAACGGATGTCTCTGTCTCACGACGTGAGACTCTGCAGTTCATCCCAAAATGTAAAAAAAAAAGCTCCATGCACCAGAGTGATAAGGGTGACTGAGTAAACCCCAGAGTTGGTTTGGACGTACTGGAGAAAAAGAGAAAATTTGCAAGTCCCGGGAGTCGAACACCAGCGAAAAGGAATAACAGCGAAAACGCATCATTGTGTTTCTAAATTCCGCCGCAGAGAATAACCGCGGCGTTAAATTGGCTTGACCGTGACGTGATATTAAATAATATATCAATGAGATATATCCCCTTCTTCCTCTCTTCGTGATAACCTTGTGTAATGGCTTCCTAGTGTTAGTTAACATTTTCCACCAACGTATTTTCTTTAGTAACGAGAATTAAAAAAAATATACGTTAACCTTGAGAAAAGGAGTGGAATGTATTCACATTCCATTTTCTACGGCGCAACGGCGTCATTTGAATATCAGTTCTTACTGGAGAGAAACAAATCAAACCGTTGACATTCTTAATGGATGGAACTGAGAGTTTGCACTGTGAAACCCAAGGATTTTCATTTATTGTAGATAACAATCTATTACTGACAGAACCAATAAACGGTACTTGCATTATAATTCCATGTGTCATGTATCGTATCGTTGAAAAAATTAATCAACAATACAAATTTTTGTATTTGCACAATTAATTACACACAGTGTCGAATATATTTTTAAAGAAACATTATATAATTTATGACGTACGCTTTTTGTCACGTCAGAACATTTTAAACAATTCGTCTTTTTTTTTACAAACTTGTTTAAAATTTCTTTTTTAACTTCATGTAGAGTATGGGATATATTGCACCGGCAACGTTATGAACAAAGATTAAATTCAACTAGCAACTTCCAGGGAAGGTATCTTGTGACAATTTTCCCCATCTTCGTGCATAGAATTCACAATACATTAAAATTCCAAATGCCTTATGATCAAACTGAAAAAAAAATCAATGTGTCATACTAAAGTACGTTATTCTGAGGTTGAGTTCGTATGCAGAATGACAATCAAAACTAATATTTTCATATAAATATTTTACATGAGGACGCATCTGACAGCCCGAACTCACTTTCAATATCGTTTCGTTCCGACGCTAAGTTTGTCTGCAGTATACTGTATAAGCAACTGTCTACAGAGCGACATCCTGGCACACTCGAAATAGAAAATGGATTAGGATGGGGCAACTCTACCCTAGGTTCCCCCTTCACGTTCCATGTACACTATATAGGAGGGTGGATCCCTACAACACAATAAAAGACTAGCTACATCAATCAGAAGATCCCTACCAGCTAAAATGTATTGCAACGGCATTATTTAAACGATTTTTTGTAGCATAATATGGGTTATACCACCAGTACAGTTAGTGTGTTTCAACAAATTTGCATAGTCTCATAATCTAAACCATCTATTACTATCAACGACAAACAATGAAAGTTTGGGGGGAAAACATTAAAAAATAAAACAACTTTTTCACACACAACGCCAAAAACAACTAAAATTACAACCAGCACTTTTGCAAATATTACTAAACAGAACATCGTAAGTGAAACAGTTTATCGTGTTTCAATTGTTGCAAATCGTTTCCATTATTGTTTCACCACTCGTGCGACATATACACCCTTGCTGTAATGATTAATAAAGTTCACACATTTAACCACTTACTATTGAAGGTGAGCAGTTTTCTGGTGGACCCCAAACGTCTGATTGGAGATTTCGTGACTCCGCCACCGGCGTCTTCTTCATCCATTTCTTGAATAGCAACAAGAGTAACACACGTTTAACAAAATAGTTTATGACACTACTGTAACTATTTTTTAAACACAAAACTCACTTCATATGTTAGAAAGATAAGTCATCCGCAAACATCGCGGGTTTCTTTGCACAATTCTAACATGAAAGACGAAAATCTAACCGCGTTCAACTGCGTTGTGTATTTGTTTGGTTTCGTGCTTGAGTCTTCACTCGCAGCAACGCGATGGACAACAGCTGCAAACACGATTTACCTACAAATACTGTTTCAGTTTCTCCCATGCTCCCTTGAGAGGGCAGCACATGACGCATATGTCTTACTAAGCAGTTTATAATACCACCAGCAGATGGAAGATGTCACAGCAAAATATGGCCTAGAACTATAAAACGTGTATATAAGTATTTATCATTACTAATAAAAGATTAGGCCTTTATGGACTACATTCCCCATTCTTTAAAGCAAGATTGGATTTTTCGATTTGTTTCATTAGTAGTACTCGACCTTCCTGGAGGGGTAAATTCATATGGAAGTGTGATGGAAGGAGAGCAGCAACAGCTGTTGGTTTGTTTATTTTTTTTTAACGAATTGACTGATAGGGTATTAGGGCTTGACGTTCTAAGAATATACCTTACATAAAATTATCCCTGTCGTTTTCTCTCATGTAGGAGGAAGTCTCCATATCATTGCAGCAATGTTGAAGAATGTCTTTGTGTTTTGAACATTCTGTCCTCGATTAACCATATTAGGTATGTGAACTGCGTAACTTCTTATTGTGAACTGCAGTTTTGAGAGGTAGTCTAAGAGCTTAACGACCGGAAATAAATTATCGTTCTTTTGTGAACTGTGAATGCCTCATTTATATTAACAACAAATGAATAATGTATTTTAGAATGCATTGTTTTTAAACAGATTACAACACGAATTTTGTTTCCTTAAAGAGAAAACCTCACAGTTTTCATCACGATATTTTCAATAATTTTAATTTCTGACTAATATTGAAATGTGTGATGCTTCAGTGGTTGAAGATACTGGCACCAATAGTGAACAATGGTCTTTAGGAAACATTCCAGTAGAGGTATGTGGTCCTTTGAATTACATTCTATTTTCTATCAGAACAGGGGCATGTTTAAAATATGCATTCATGTAAACACAGTTGTTTGTATCTGTTATTTATTGCTCATGTAACTGCTGTATTGTGTCCATAATTCATGTAGAAAAGTGGCAGTAGAAAATTAAAAATGAGAAAGATCAACTTACATATTCTTCATTTCAGTCTTTTCCCAAATCCTGAACCAGTTACATCCAGTTCTCTCTTTCACACCAAATTTCCGAAAGACCTGTTTTTTTGTTATGCCACCCTAACAGAATCCTGGAGAGGTTTTCCATACTAAAATTTATTTTGCATTTCTAATCTTATCCATTTGTGCTATATGTCCTGCATATCCATGATCTGGTGAAGAGTACACATTACAGTGTTCCTCATTATGTAATTTTCTCCAGTTTGCCGTTGTTTATTGTCATAAATCCGAACGTGCTCCTCGACACTTTGTCATCATGCATACTCAGTATTTTAGGGACTGAGAGATAAAATACAAAATGGGGCATGAAAGTCTTGCAAAGAAAACTGGTGTTATGTATACCATAGAATAAAAATATGCCCTTAAGAAATCTTTTAGTCTTGCCAGATTATGAATTTTTGTCTTTGGAAAGGTGACAGATCAGTGCAACTTAAAGGAAACATATTTGACAATTTACTTGGGATAAAACCTGACAATATTCTATCCATTGTTACATGCAGGTAAATGGACATGCCAAAGATAATATGACACCCAGGATTTTACAAACTATTGAACAGGATGAAATGTTAATTTTCTTTTATTTTTGATAATATAATGTTCCTTCATTACAGATTTTCCTTCATATCTGCTCTTATTTGGATGCAAGATTTATTACTAATTCCATGAGCTTAGTATGTAAACGTTTCCATGAAATACTTTCTGATTCGGCAATATGGAGATCACGTATTTCAAAGAGGTGGGGAAGTAAATATCCGCCAATACCAGGTATGTGCTTCTAATGGAAAGCATACATAAAAAGTTTCACTATGGCTGCACTTGAAAACATTCTCTTGGGTGGAGAGTTTCTTTCCTAGTTCAAAAACTGTAGTACATTTCATATGTCCTAGCTCATAACCAAAACAGTAAGACCTCACCATTTCCAAACAACTGTTAAATAAACAGATTTTTTATTTATGGTTTATTTATCAACTCTGACAATAACTTAGGTTAGGTTAGATGGTGGGATAGGAGCTGAATAAGGAGGATATGACAGGAAATGGTCATTGCCTAATTTCTAAGGCACTATCTTGTCATCTGCTTGGAGGGACTGACAAAAACGATGAACAAACTCAGTCAGTACATCTGGTCTTCAGAGCAAGATTTGAATCTGGGATCTCCAAAATATGGAGAAGGAATGCCAACCAATGAACTGAGACATTCAATAAACTGATTTAAATTATCAGACTTTCACTCTTGATGTTTGATGACCAGGGTATGGGAAAACAAGAAACTGGCACAAACTTTTGGTTGTAAAAACTTTAGTTTGAGTTTCATAAAAATGGGAATTTTTTTAACAAGCTGAAAGGGATCCAAGGCTTGATTTAGATTCATTGCCTTGATGATGATGATGATGATAATTCCCTTACAGTAAATGCAGATGACTTTAACTGGAGGTTAGCCTGTGTGAACATTGAAGACCAATATGAGCTCTGGAATAGGAAAGACATAAAAATTAAATCAGTATTAAGAAAGGACATCCATTATGCAGCTGTAGATGCAATACACTTAATGAATGTAAGTACATACCTCTATAATGCTTGGCATCACATGAATAAAGAAATACATCTGCAAATGATCACCTGTCTTGAGGAACAGGGCATACTTCTTTAATCATCTTCCAAATAGCATACAAAGATCAAATATTAACAAGTCAAGGTAATGCTGTGACTCATTCTTTATGTAATCTAAGTGTTCCAATACTGCACTTGTGCCAGGGTTTATGGAACTTAATAACTAAATAAAATAGAAAATCTGCTTCATATGATTTACAGCAAGGTCCATTACAAATTTCCGTTGGCTCCTTGATTTAGAAATGTTATGACACGAATTCTTTCTTATCAACTCAAATACATAGGAATAAATTTGAAAAACATAATTTTTTTTTCTGTAGTCTGGCTTGCTCTGTGTGTCTGGTTCAAGAGACCGCAGCATCATGCTGTGGGATCTCTCCAATGTGCTGAATGGTGGCACAGAGGTACCGTATCAGGTGTCGACAGATGCCCACAAGGGTTGGATCTGGCAACTGGCCTCTTGTGGTGAAACTGTGTACTCATGTTCTTGGGACACAACAATAAAAGCGTGGAATCTAACCCACGATCTGCAATTACTCTCCGTCTTCAAGTGAGTACACTCGATGCTTCAGTCTCATCTGTCAAGTGATGTGAACTAATATTGAAAATATCCGTTATCATCAGTTCGTAAACTGTTATCATGTCCACACTCTGAAATACTAGTAATATAAACAACTATTCTACTAACTACTTTGCTAGCAAGTGTTTATACCTGACATTGTAACAGCTTTTTGTAAACTTACTCTTTGCATATCAGGTGTCAGACACCAGCCCTGTCACTAGCCTGTACATCGAATCTGGTGGCAGCAGGAACATACAACAGGAATGTGGTAATCTTTGATACCAGGGTTGGGGGATCTCAGGTCAGCTTGTACACGGCACATCACGGTGCCGTACTAGCTCTCTCCATGTCTGGCGACTTCATAATATCTGCTAGCGAGGACCAAACACTGGCTGTGTGGGACCAACGGGCAGGAAAAGTCTTTAAGAAACTAAATTTATATGAAAACAAGGTGGGTTTGTTACAGTTAGCATTCGGTAAGATTTCTTAAAACCTCAGATTCACACTTGTCCATAGCTGGTAAGAATCGACAGCAAGCCCATACGCGTTTTTGTTAAACCACAATACCTCGAGAGAAATTAAATGGATTTGTCTAGACTCCATCATATGTAGGATCTTTTGACAGCAAGCCCATACGCGTTTTCGTTAAACCACAATACCTCGAGAAAAATTAAATGGATCCGTATGTTATATGTATTCTAGACTCCATCATATGTAGGATCTTTGCAGAAGACAGCCTATATACAAGTGTAATTTTATTACTTATTCAGACTGCAGACTTTCCCCATTAAGGAAGGTTTATTATGGAATATATACCTGAACAGGTCACTAGACTTAATGCTATATTTTCTCACAAAATTTGTAATTGTGCATTATTTCTGTGACCTTTTCAATCTCTCTTTTTGTAAGGATGAAGATAAGGCTTTTCCCATGTGCCTGTCATTCAGCAATGATCTCCTTTATGTCGGTGACTCGAAGAGCCAGTTACATCTCCTAAATCCAGCTCAGGGAAAGTTTGATATCGTTGAGGTACTGTAGTCAACTCTCATAGACAAGTTTAGTTCACAGTTTTAGGATTACAGATACTAATTATGGAAGTGTTATCAAGTTCAGAAATGTCAGTAAGCTGTAGTCGATATTAACTTGCAGTCATACCAAGTTGGACATACTGAAAAACTGACCTGTGTAAAGCACAGCATGGGTAGCATCCTCACGAGTTCGACCGACCGCACAGTTCGAATATCCACGCCAACTAAGAATCCAGAAACGATAGCTATCATACGTTCTCAGGCGGGCGAAGTTGCACGGGTGAGTAAATGTTCTCATAAAATTCTCATGTTTTGTGCTTGTCTTGTATACTTCAGATGGGACAAGAGTGATTCATAAGGTACTTAGCATTGCTGTCTCAAATGCAGAGGTTGTACAGTATCAAATGATGGGCTGATGATCATGAATGGTTAATAAATAAGGATTTGGAAAGAAGCTCAAGAAAATATGTGGATCCGAGTCTCATGAAGTGGGAAACATAGGATATATCGTTTCGTAAGAAGGGCTGAGTCAAATATAATTTAATAATAAACTTCATGGTCAATTATTTTTAGGGTAGCAAAATCTAGAAGGTTATATATCTATAGCTTGAATGAAGCAGACAAGAAATAATTACATAATTTTGGTGGGGAAATCTGTAAGAAAGCAGCCATTAGAAGTCTGAGATCAACTGACTGATTGTTACGATTACATGTAACACAATTTTAACTAAAGCAGTTACACAATTAGTGACTATTAATGTAGATTAAGCAAAGAAAACGACAGACCTCAGTCTAGATAACTAGCAACTCTGTATCCGCCAAGAACAAATCTGGTGTTAGTGATACACCAACCTGATACAGTAATTCACAGGGAATGAGATAGAGATGCAGTAATAAAAAGTCTGTGATAAGCCATGTTAAAATCAAGAAGTACGTATAAAAAGTCTAATTATCTGCCCCCCCCACCCCAAGAGCTGATATAAAGTCTGTTCTCTGTAGACATTTGGAATTTATGTTCATCCTCGACAGCAAGAGACTATTTCGCAACCGTCCATAACTTTTTCTTTCAGTGTCTTAAATGTTACTGTGTCTGAAGAGATTATTTACTTGCATGTCCTGAATTTATCTTGTAGTGTTTATTTCTAGTAATTGTTATTTTATTTACAGTTTGATTACACTAATAATGTCCTAGCAGTTGGGGGCACTGATAATGCGCTGGAATTTTGGCTGCCATGTTCTACATAACCGTGTGCAGTATGAACAGAGCCTGCCTCAGATCTGCTTATTTTTGGTACTAGACATGAGAGATGACACCTTTCACTGGCAATGTTGCAGTCGATACACACTCGTACCTACAGCGATGCCAAATTATTCTCAACAAAACATGTAACAAAATTTTGTATTACAGTGGTGACCAGTATTTCTTCAGCCTTCAGAAAGTGATACTAACTTGAATACTCCAAAAGTACAGATAAATTGTAATTATTTAATTTTTTTCCAATCATACTTGAATCTGTGTCCTTGGGGCATAGCTGTTACTTGGCGCTGGAAAAGTCTTCTACTAAAGGTGCACAAAGGGGACAAAAAATGAAAAATATGCAAGAACTTATTAAATCAAGTAAAATCACATTTTTCTCTTTGGTTGTGCTTTGTAATTATACATATTCAAAATATATGGTGCCAGATTTTGGAAGCAGAAGTCAGGGTGAAATTTGAAATTATGGCAGTGAAGAAGTCGCCAGACTTGTGGGTTGTGATGCTGTGCGGTCTCCTAGGTAGATACTGTTTGGAAGAAACCTGCTGCCTCCATCTTGTATCTACCTGTTAGTCCACAAAGCACATAACCCAGAACCAAGTTATTGGGCTCAATTCTGACAGGCTAAGATCAATTAGCAGGTGACTAGCTGATTTTGTATAGTATTTTCGTAGAAATTCCTGTAAGTATAATATGGGTAGATATATTTGTGGCACATTTTATGTCATGGGTAAACTGTGCAGCTCCTCCAGAAGAAGGACTTAGAATATAAAATAAAGTCACTAATTTTTCTACAAAGACTTTAAAACTGTCCTATGAAATTTGACATGTCTAATTACTGTAGATTGTTGTTTTTGCATCCCTGGGATCTATTGTTAATTAACAGTAATTAAAACTGTCGATAAATATACTTGGAGATGAGATTAATATCACAAACATTGGCTCCTCTACCATTAGTTTATTGATAATTAACATCAGTGAAAGCAACTTGCAAAAACTGATACTCAGATAAAGCTAATGAGTCATGGCTTTGAAACAATAACTGTGGTATTTCAGAGTCCTTGACATTATAAATTTATATACATTACCACCACTAGCTCATATATAACAGTATAAATCATTATTAAAATATTTGCTTGTCTTGGTTTTTATATTAACTTTTGTTAATGTAATTTATAACTCTTTTTGTTACATTTATTTAATAAATGAGAATTTTAACATGTTTATGGTCTTATTAATTAATCATTTTCAAATGTATTATCTTCCCGTATATCTGAGACAAAGCTTGCAATAAAAAGAAAAGTAAGGACAAGATGACTCGTGAATGACAAATTCAAAAGTTTCTTATGGTAGCAATTGGTACCAGGGTCCGTTCCCCAGGGGTAAAGCGCGGTGTGGACATGATGGTGACCACTCAACCCCATCTAGTGCAGAGGCTGAGAATGAGCTATACATGACATGTAGTGGGATAGCTTTACTTTTATGTTGGCAACTATGAAGACGACTGTCTTCCGGGTTGCTGTGCCGTGGTCTGACGGAAAATTACTGATATTTCAAAGGTGCTTACTGCACTCATACCCTTAATGATGGAGGAAGAAATCATTTCAGTTTCCACAAAACACCCCAGAAGACAGTCATCTAATTTAAGGCACTATTGAAGCATTTACCTGGTGTGACCGAGGAAAAACATGAAAAACCTCAGATAGAGTAATGTCTCCACAATGAACCTGGGACCCCCCAAATACAAAGTGGGAGTGCTAACCACTTGACAGTGGCATTCAGTGACTTCTGCAATGTGTAAGTACAAGAAAACAATAAGAGGAAGAACAAAAGAAAATGGCAGTGTGATACGGGAAACAATGGACGACGTGAACATGACCAGGGCAAGGTGTGTATAAAATAAAATAAAATTTGTAATGAATCAGTGATAATGCTATTGACATTTTCACAAGAAAACATAATTAAATTACAACAGCCCTCCTATTAAGTGCCAGTGGCTCTTCACTGTTAAAGATAAAAAGGCTATAGAATAATATCTTACACAATTTTTGATACATTTTAATACCAAGTAAAGAAATAACACAGAACGATGACTAATAAAAGAGCCACTCTGAAGAGCAAACATATATAACAATTCTACCAGTGTTCAAAATGTTTGTTCATGTCTTGTAATGGAAGTCCGGTGTACCGGAGCAACTTCGGTAGCTCATAAAAATTGCATTGCACTCATGAATAAAAGTTCACTTCACCTCTTTTAACACTTTTATAGCCATGGTCCATCAAGCTTATAAAAGCACCAATTGTTATTTCAAAAGCTCACATTTCAGTAAAAGGATGGCACTACAATCTGACATTTTCAAACATCTGATTTTATAGACCATGCGCCTTCTACAATGTCCGACTCCATAACACACATTAACTGCTGCAGTACGCCCACTTCACCTACTTTTCACAGCTGTAAAATGTCACCAGATGAAAGTCAAAATAACTTACTTGCTGGACAAGGGATTCTGTAGGCCTACAGGGAAGTCCTAATCATTTTTGAAACATTTAAATTTATACTGTATACATATTTCAAGTAAACAAATCAAATACTATGCCAATCAGTTAATGTTTATTTTTCCAAATTTATTCAATAATGAAGCTAAAAAATTTGTCCAATTTCAAAGCCCTTGTAAAAGCCTCATAATGCAGAACACTTGTGTACAGCCATACACACAATCCTGATACAGACGCTCACACTAACTTTCTTTATTAACTTATTCAGAATATTCAAAATTATGCTCCACATCTGGTGACTGCATACAGATGGTAGGTTTTGATACAGCGTTGCTGAACATTCAGGAAAACTGCCAACCATAAGATGTTTATTTTCATTTAAGTTTAAAATGATATTCAAGACCTGGCAACAGAAGTGTTAAAGCATTTGCATAACCACAATCAGATGATCTTAATTTTAGTTTTAAACCACACTCACGTGTTTTATGTTCATGTTTCAGAACCCTTTGAAACTGGAAGACAGTAGTTTGTTATGCAGATTCGTCTATGAGCTGCCAAACACAAATTACAGACACTGCAACATGACAGCAAAGAACAGTAGGTAGGAACATCATTACTCCTGCCTAGTGCGTATCAAATTACAAAAAAAAACACAGTGGAATAAGCATCAGAAACTCATGCAGCCAGCCACACCAGAAGGTTAATTACTGTATGTCATCTGTAACATTCAGTTCAGTGTTATCATACAAGCTCTAAAAGCAATTAACAGACAAAGTAATAAAATACAAAAATAAGTCTATTTAAGGAAAATTACTAAAACTGTAGCTTCTTCAAGGCTCCGCGCTGCAACACAAGTCTAATCTGCGACTTCTACAATAGATTTAAATTCACAAAGCAATTCATACGCTGGTGTCATGGTAAAGAGTTAAGTCCTGAAAGAAAAGCTAAGAGGAAATAATTTTTTTTAAAACAAAGTCCTCTTTTTTTTTTGGGGGGGGGGTGTCAAAATGTATACAAATTCTATAAAATGATTTAGGCATTAACTTAAGGCCGAAGTCTCACTGTATGCAAAATTACAGTTAATAAAATATAAAAAGTAAAATAATATTTCAGTTGTAACTTTACCAAATTTGAGACTTTTTTTTCTCCTTTTAAAGGTGGGTAGAAAATGTAGTTCAGAAGGCAAACAAATTTCAATATCTGATATTTGAAAATTAATATGTACCATCATTACAATTTCCTGCAGCAAGAAATCATCAAAGTGACAAAATTATTATCT